GACCCTCCGAAGATCATGAGGCAGCCATCCAGCGTCGGAAAGCTATTGTCCTTCCCTTGGCATTGTCTATGGTCGGCTTGGGGTCCCCCCTATGCTCCCCCTTATTGGAGCCTTCGGACAAGATGCTTCATGAGGCCATAGTCCTTGTATAGATGCTTGACGGGGAAGGCATGGTTCGGGCATGGCCCCTCGAGCAGAAGTGGTTCGAGGTACCCTTGGCAGGATTTCGACCCCTTGCGGTCGGCGGTGGCCATGAGCGAGCCCTAACACCGTTGCTTGTTCTTCTTCTTGTTGGGATGGTCGGAGACGCCTTTGCCGGTGTCCTCGTCCCGCTTTGCCTTGCCCTTGAGGCGGTCGAAGATCGCTCTGACCGCCTCCTCACCCGAGGCGTGGCTAGTGGTGATGTTGAGGAGCTCCTTGGTGGTTCGCGGGCCCTTACGTCCTAGCTTATGGACCAAGGACTTGTAGGTGGTCCCAGACAGGAAGGCTCCTATGATGTCGGTGCCGCGACGTTGGGCAGCTTGTTGCACTGCTGGGAGAAATGCCAGATGTACCCACGAAGGGTTTCCCTAGACTTCTATCGATAGTTTTTGAGATCCTAGGGGTTCCCAGGATGCACGTATGTGCCCTGGAAGTTTCCCACAAAGATCTCTTTTAAGTCCGCCTAACTTTGGATTCGGTTGGGCGGAAGGTGTTCTAACCATGTTCGCGCCGAATCGACCAGGAACAATTGAAGGTTGCAGATAATGAAATTATCATTATCCATTTAACCGGCTTGGCAAGCAAGTTGATAATCCTCGAGCCATAGTCTAGGGTTCGTTTTCCCAAAATATTTCAGGATGTTGGTCAGCGGTCGGTACCGCTGTGGGAAGACGGCGTTGAGGATGTGTCGGCCAAAGGCCTAAGGTCCCAACAGGTCAGCGCTTGGGCTTCGGTCCTCACCACTATCATAGCATCCGCCACGACGTGGGTGGTAGCCGCGGCTAGCCCCTTCCCTCGCATCGCCGCGGGCATGCCTACGGGCATCAAGGGTGTCGCACGCGTCAAGGTGGCGGCCGAGACGCTCATGCACCAGGACAGCGGTGCGTAACCCGCCGCCTTACAGTGCCTGGTGGACCGACGCATCCTTGTTGGGTTACTCTAAGGGCGTGCGCTGGCTGACATCGAGCTCACGTCATTGGGACAGCGAGCTCTCAGCCTATTGTGCTGTCGCACGCTCGAGTAGCGTGTGAATCTCACGATGGGCCCGACGATCCTCGGGCATCGTGGGCCCCGGAAGATCCTAGAGCAAGGCCGCCATAGCAGCGATGTTCTGGCTTGCCCAGGGGAAGTGTGGGAGGGCTTCATTGTCCTCAATGATCCTCCGGTTCACGTTGCGGGCCACGGCGCGTGCACGCCCACCATCTCCGTGGTGCTCGATCTCTCGTTCGAGCTCCACGTGTTCCTGCTCAAGCTGGAGTCGTGCTTCCTCAAAGCTCTTGGTGCCGGGCCTTCAGCTGCTCCACCCACAGGTGAGGTGGGGCCCCTGCATCCCCCTCGACCTCGTCGTCGAGGTTGTTTGTTCAGGTAGCCTCTTCCTCATGGATGCTTTCGACGTATCCCTCGGGGGTACCTATCATGAAACATTCACGAGAGGGATGATGGCTCTCCCTGTTGGAGTCAGAGCTGGAGGGCGACTCCGACTCTCCTACAAGGAGGTCATGGAAAGATTCCACGACATATTCGATCATCCCCATGAACCAGTCGTTCATAGGGGATGGGGGAGTGTGTTGCACCACAAGGTGGCCAACGGTCTCCGTGGCATTGCGCAAACCAGACAGGAGCGTCATCGGGGTGCTCTGGTCGAGGTATTCTGGGGAGAGCAACTCTCCTCTGGCAAGCTGTGTCATGACGTTGGCAAACAAGAAGGTGAGGTGGCCCAGGTCCTCCCAGGACGGTCGGGGTCCTAGGAAGGCGCCGAGCTGGCGCTCTAACCTCCCGTAGTCAAAGCTGAGGAGCTGGTCGCTTCCGGGGGCGCGGGCCTTTAGTGCATGCAGCTGTAGCTCCTCAAGCGCCTCAACGATCGCGTCGAGGCCAGCGGAGTGGAGAGGTTGGACGACGACGGGAGCCCGCACCAACTCTCCCTCCGTTGTGATGATGAAGTCTAGGTTCCCGAAGCGCACGTGCGTGCCTGGGACCTAGCTAACGTTGTAACTAGCCACCCGAGGCCTGGTGTGGATGTTGAGATGTGCAAAAGGCCCCTACCTGGCATGCCAACTATCGGTGTTTTGAGTTACCACCGACGATTAAATTTCTAGTATTGTGCGTCTGGTCGGATGGTGTGCTTAGAGGACACGATGTTTATACTGGTTCGGGCAGAAAGTCCCTACGTCCAGTTCATTGTTGCTGCTCATGTTACTAGCACTAAAAGTTTGTAGTATGGGGTACAAACGGGCGAGAGAGGGAAAGGATCCCAAGTCTCTGGTGAAAAGAGTGAACGAGTGCTGAGAGCTCGATCGCTGCTTAGCCGTGTGTTCATGTCATGTTCTTGTGTGTTTATCTCGTGTTCTAATCGGTTTGGGGTGATTCGATCCATTTCATGGGGCGTCCTACTTTTCCTTTTATAGGCCAAGGAAAAACACAGGTTACAACAGAGGAAAAGGAGAAGAACGAGAGAGAGGAAAGCTTCTAGGATCGCCGGGTCCTTCTTCTCCTTCATGCGGGTCCCGCCGACCCTATAGATGTCAACAGGGACAGCTCCACGTCGCGGCCCTGTCCGTCACTGGCGCCATGCGCAGGCGTCGTCTACCGATCATGGCGTTCCATTCTGTCCCGATGGACATCGTGATGAACTGACGCGCATGTTAGTGTTCGTACGATGGTTAGGCAGAACAGCACCGGCACGCCCGACGCTGTTCTTGATGTGAACCCTCAGGTATGGCCCGTCATGGCCACAGGTTACATCAGGGCGTGCCGGTCTCTTCCTTGGTGTCAGAGTTTTGACCTAGGCCCATATGCGTGGACCTGGAGTGGTTGGCGGCGGTATGGGTCTCCATCGGGCGAGACGGAGCCCGCGGCCTCAGGGTCAGACGAGGTGGAGCATGTCTACCTCCCTGGTCATCATCTGAATCATCTGAATCACTGCTAACTACATCACCGATCCTGTCCTCCTCCTCCTGCTCCTCATCTTTCCGTTCAAACTCGTTCACATCGAAGTCATTGCTTATACAACCTACTTGACTTGAATGAAACTACTCCTACGTCAACTGACCATTCAAATCCAAAGTACCCATAGTTGGTTCCACATGAACCCCATATTCTTGTTGAGTATCATCATCGAAGGGCGGCCTCTCCTAGAGATCATGCATCCTATACCCATTCTCCACAACCACCTCAGCCATGGCCACATTGAAACCTTGGATTACCCTATTGTAGCAGGACCAATAGCATGGTCCCGCAAGGGCATCAGCACGTAGTGTGCCCTAGTCTTTCCACTATCAAACCTCCCCTTCAGTGTATAATCACCGCCAAACTTTCCATTCAAACGACCACAAAGATCGCTGAAGCTAGGAGGTTTATCAAACCATTCCAATTCTTCTTTCATATCCTCAAACATATCATGTTCTCTTCTAACACTTCCTCCGTAAAAAACTCTAACACAACAATCCATCTACAAAAGCATTTCAAAAACTTCATCAGGTCATCGAAATCGTCGTGCGTACTAACTAACTGACTACACCTATACTAACTACACCTATACCAACTAACTATACTAATTAATCTAATATTAATACATATACCAACAATTCTAACTAACTATACTAACTAACTACTCTAAACACACTAATATTAATACATATACTTACTATACTAAGTAATTTTACTAACTATACATATCTAGCTGACTGCAAAACTAACTGCAAAACTATACATAACTTATATTTACTAACTTCACTAAATATCTTTGCTAACTAATTATATAAATCTCTATCCGGTCAAACTAAATTTGAATCCTAACCTTAGCAAAAAAATTGATAGAGATGCAGAAGAGCATTACCTCGACAAAGATTATGAGTCACTATAATCCACCAATGGAAAGGACCCATAAATTCTAGGATTGAATCTCTTTTGGCCCATCAACTCTTACGTTTGTCTAATTTTAACCTCCGAAAACTAAATTAGGTAACTTTGGCATCTCAACTATAAGAACTGATCAATTTTGACCTAGGTGCCAGTTTTGAGTGTTTTTTAGTGTATCAGGTCCACTGCTAATGTTTATGGAAGAAACGCTCGTGCAAATCAACGTGGCCAACCTATTAAGCCGGTACAACTCGTCAACTTGGACCAGACCAACTCAAACCAATAATTAGTGAAAACCGCTACCAACCCAGTACAAACTGAGCCAAGCGAGATCAACAATCGTACACACGACTAGGGTTACAAAACCAGCCAAATCCGCTTCCAACCCATGAAGGGCTAGGGTGAGTTGCATCTTGTTGATGAGATTCTGGAGCTTCTTAGTCCAAGCCAATCCATGGACCCAAATTTTTAATTAAAATTGAAAAAAATAGGATGACATCTCTATATCTAAGTTTCTGGATATAAGATTATCGGTGCGCCTGTTTCTGGATCCTCCACCTCTGTCGCGCAATTGGGTGTACTCTACAAACAACATAGAAAAAGCACAACAGCCAACAACACCAGTTCAGAATTTGGTCCTCACGTATTGCACTAGGCACTACTAGCATCTTTCCTTCCGCATAGCACGCCGAGTCTAGCATTACACATTGCAACACATATACGATGACACGGATTATCACACCGTTTTCCTATTGGCACTCATATAAACACAGCATGCGAATAAGAAACTAGGTACTTCAGAAGGTACTGTGGTAGTAAGACTCCATAGGTCTGTACCACATACACAGTTACGTCGCTACTTGGCGCTTCTTCCTCAGGTTGCATCCTTCTCCCAAGTTTTTTCCCCACTGGATGCATTGAATGGAGGGAGCCAGTGAACTTCAGCGCATGGCCCTAGTCGTGTTAACCTCGAATGACAGCCCGTTCTCCTGGAGGCGCTGCTGGAGGTCGGTAGGGCCGAAGATGGTGCCAGGGGTGTACACCCCGCCCTTGGGCAGGTTGGCACGCTGGCTCAGAAGGACGAGGGCGCACTGCACCAGCACAATCGGAGTTGTGATGTAACCGACCTCAGGCCCCGAAACCTTGGTGATCACCTCCTTGTCCGGCTTGCTTCTTCCGAGCTCCATGGAGCTATCCATGTTGCTGTAGCCGTGCCCAACAAACCACATCTTGAACGAGGCGCTCTTCACCTCTTCCTCAGTCGGGCCGGCTCTGCGGAACATCCCAGCGGAGAAAAACTCAGGGTACTTCAGCAGGAGGGACCTGCCGAAGGAGAAGTTGGCGAGCAGGCCGATGAAGAGTCCGGTGATGATGAAGCGCACGAGGATCAGCAGGGATCTGGAGGCGATCTTCAAGCCGAAATGGGCAGGTTTGACAGAAGACCAGAACTTCTTCCTGTGCTCAGCGTACTCTGGGGTTTCTTCTGCACCAGGAAGGCCCTCAGGATGCTCAGTCAAGGTTGATAGAGTTCTCTTCACGACCACTGTGTCAGCGGAAGGCAGCTTCATAGCCCACATTCCCAGAGGATTGTGACCCTCAATCAGCGACCCTTTGGGAGGTGGAGGGCCTGGAATCTGCAAAAAGGAAGAAATCTTAGCATTAATCAAGATTCTATCCAGAAAAGTGTGTCATCTGAGAAAACTCAAAAGTAAAATAATGTATCTAAACCATGTGATGCCAATATGAGATTTCCATCCGAGTGATCTTAACTACTGGATATTCAATAGTACTCAAGTTGTACACAAATGGTTGTCTAGCAAAGCAGCCAATCCTCGTTTCACAAATAGATCATCTCAGGCAATGAATATATGGACTAAAGTCTTTAAATAGATGTGTGAATAATACTGCAAAAATTAAACATTCAAGGTTGCACATAGCACAAAATCTATTTAACTCCAAAATTTTAATCAAGAAATTAAGCTAGTAGCAATGATGCCAGATCTACAGTAAGAATACATAAAACTTCAGTGCCTAAGTTGTGGTATCAGTCAGATTTCTTGTAATATCAACTGGAATATTCATTGAAGTACAAGTTTTATGGAGGTTGCAAAAAATAGAAGCCCCGTCGATAGAGGAAAATCGAGTGATAGGAAAATAGGAGGTACTTAGGGAAAAGTACTGAAAAGTACAAAACAGGTAGGGACAGCAAAAAAAAAAAGAACGAGGCCAGTACCCATATTATTTCCTTTTTTATTTAAATAAATGGTAAATTGGTAATTGCATTTTATAGTTTAGTGTCTTTAGACTAGAGGAAATTAGTTTGTATGGGCTAATTTGAGTTGACACAGTTAGCTGTTATATTTGAGTTCTTTGGTGTAAGCTTAATTTGAGTTAATTTGTATGGGCTAATTTGAGTTGACAAAGTTAGCTGTTATATTTGAGTTCTTTGGTTTAAGTTTATGTTGATCAATTTAAGAGGTGAGCAAAATGGTTATTTTATGGAAAAGAATTAGTTTGATCCATCTAGCTGCGCTACATCAGAACTACTACTTTTAAGATTTGTTAGTTGGTTCTCGCTTGTGGTTTGTTACACTTTTAAGTCAACACGATTCACCCAGGCTACAATACTCAAGCAATTAGTGAGGCAGAAACAAGTACTAGTAATTATTTGTCACCAAGTTTGTGTGCCCTTGATGAAACACATGTTGACCGAAAGCAAGCGTAACTTCTATACAATCGTGCTTGCTTCGCCAAATCCGCCACGCACCTAAAATCAGTCACTGCCTCACTGGATACATGCTCACCCTTGCGCTCAATTTGTCGATCACTCACAGACGCTAGGAAATGTCGAGACATTAAGGGAGATAGACTGCCGAGTTTCAGTGGCAAGAGCTAAACAAAAACAGTCACAGGCGCTAGGAAATGTTCCGTGGTGGCAAACTTTTTGGGAAAAAAACAGTTGAGAAACTATCTGATTAGCCATTGTGCACATTCAGAGATCAGAACTAGACAAACTCCCGATGGGGGATACAGAGTTGGGTGGGGATACAGAGTTGGGTGCAGATCTGGGGGGCTCAAAATGACAGGAAGAGAGGAACAGAACGGGGAAAGCAGAGGAAAAATACCCTCATTATATTTACATAAATTCAATTTTTAAAATGTCTTTCTCAGATCAATGGCCAGCCAAACTCAGAGGGGAAAGTACCTAAAAGTACCACTGGTATATAGCAATCACTGTAGCAAAGCTCTTATTAAAATCCAAATCATGGCATCACCAAATTCATATAATCTGCTTTCATTTGATAAAGCAATCTTTCTCTCTTCCATTTGTTATATATATGAAGTCTGGAGCTACTAATAAAACACACTGTTAATAGCTTTTACATCCCCTCTGATCTTTACCGTATAAGCACATGGTTGTTATTGATCAAGGAACATTGTCATACATTTGGGAACAAACCAAGTTCAGTGATTGTAGGCTTATTAAGAAATTAAACCGGTTCCCTAGAATAGTGGCAAGTGGTAGCGTTTGACAGCTACCAATGGCATCAGCCATCAGCACAAACTAGCTGATGATTCTTCAACTCAAATTCATCTGCTCCTATAACTTGTCTCCAGATTTTGTTGGAATAACTAAATTCTTTTCACATGTGCTCAGTAAAAATTAACACAGATGAATGCTTTTGAAACCAAGTGCTTCTTAAAAATCTTAATCATGGACAACAAAAGGGTGAATACAGGTAAATAAAAAATTACAGATACTGACGTATATGGATATTTATATTCCTGATTCAAGAAAATTGTCTTACGAAAATATGTAACAGGCCACAAGGGCATATCAATAGCATATTAAATATGAAAAGCATACAACCGCTGTGATTTAAGGACAACAAAATGCAAACTATGAGCCTTTCAGTTACCAAAAAGAAGTTGCAAAAGAATTAGATGAACTTTGACAAAATTAGACAACCATTCTTGTGTAGTAGTAAGGCAATCCACTCCATGCACACACAGACACAGAAGGCATGGTAATCATCATTTGCATGTGACAGTACAGAGACTGTTCTGATGGCACCCCAGGACTATTTAGCAGTTGGCACACAAGAAGTGAATGATTGATCGAATAGTAACAGCCTAACAGGACCAAATAATTAACATATCGGCATGAAGGTGATAGTATGGGGAAGGGAATTCATAAGAGAGTTTAAGGGCGTACCCAGTGCAGCTCCCGCTCTGTGCGGGGTCTGGAGAAGGGTGTTAGTGGCAAGCCTTACCCTCGCCTGTGCAATGCGAGGAGACCACGACTCGAACCCGGGACCTTCCGGTCACAGGCGGTAAGACTCTACCGCTTGCACCAGGCCCGCCCTTCTCATAAGAGAGTTTAACAGAAAAAAAAGGAAAAAAAAAAGAGCTATGAGTTCATATACCAACAGTCTACCCATATAAAATTTCTATAATGACTAAGAAAATCCAGGGGATATGAGAGCTAATTTCCAGATTTGTCAGAAAGTTTGAAAGTTTAGTAGCAGAACACCTTTCACCATTAATTCCATCGTAACAGCTTGGCACACTAGGAGATTTGGGCATACATATACTGAAGCTAAGGTAATTTGAATTTCAGGAAGCATATTTGTGGCTATGTCAACATAGCTTCAGCAAAACACAAACAATTTTAGCACAAATCAAACAGCAGTAGCAAATTCTAGTATAGTAGCCTATAGTGTACAGAGCAGACATGAGTCTGAGATCTGGCCCAGCAACTATTGCAGTCAGTAGTCAGTGTGCCCATCATGCCAAACTACAGATGGATGTTCCTTCTAAGTTCTAACTCAAGTGGTTGCTCCAGTACATCCTTGAGGATTTTAAGACCTACTAATTCTAAGCCGATGTGAATATTGTTCTAGTGCAGCACTCTATTCTTTTTGTCTTGTAAGAAGTAAGAAACATAATCGAACAAGCACTTGAAATCAATTGAGAAGCAGGAAAGAGTGGATATGAACTCACATTAGGCCTGGGTCGCCTGGGCCTGGACCGGCGCAGCGCCTGCAGCTGGCTGGCGTTGGCCACCCCGAGCACGGCCGACTCGTAGGTGCCTATGTTCCCGACGATCCTCTTGGTCGACTGCAGGTACACGTACGCCTCCACGGAGACCAGCGCGGACGGTGGCTCCCACTGCCTGGAGTGGAACAAGAAGCCGAGCTCGGCGGGGACGGAGTCGAACCCGCAGGCGGAGACGATGAGCGAGCCGGTCCTGGCGGCGGGCTCGTGGAGCTCGGCCTCGACGCGCTCCATGAACTCGGGCTCCCCGGAGATGTCGAGGCAGTCGGCGCCCGCGGCCGCGCAGGCCGCCGCCACGGCGTGGCCGTGGAGGCGGAAGGGCCCCGCGCAGGAGAGCACGACGCGGGCGCGGGAAGCGAGCGCCGCGAGGGAGGCCGGGTCGGAGGTGTCGGCCACGAGGATGGCCACGTCCTCTGGCGGCGGCGCCGGGGCCGCGGCCCAGCGCAGCGCGGCCGCGACGCGGTCCCGGCTGCGGCCGGCGACCGCGAGGGAGCGGAGCGGGGAGGTGGAGGAGGAGGAGGAGTTGAGGAACTTGAGGGCCTCGCGGATGACGTACTTGCCGGTGAAGCCCGAGGCCCCGAAGATGACGACGTCGAACACCTCCGGCTCCGGCGGCGCCATGGCGGGCGGGCGGTTCGGCTCTCGCAGAGGGCCGCCCGGGCGGGCGCGGCGGGGGTTTGGGGACGGGTCGCTGAGCGGTGGGGCCGCCCGGCTACTCGCGGAGTGGTTCGTGAAAGCGGTGCCACTCGTTTCGTCTGCCTTCCAGCGGCGGCCGTGGGCGGAGCTAAATACTCCGTAGCAACTAACACCAACACTTGGGCGGCATTTGCTATGTGCTAGTCGTACTTGCCTCATGTTTTTGGAGTAATGAGCAAGACATCGTGTTCGTTGATGCTGAAATTTTTTATATTGAAATATTACGAAAAAAAACACTATTTTATACTTAAAAAGCAGTTCTGAATAAGTTCGAGCGATGCATCATTCGTGAAACAGGGGTTGGCACCGCAGCAGTGGATCCGAGACCAGACCACTAGAAAAGTTTCAGCGTACTCCGTGTTCTTGACTGAGCAGAGTTCTGTGGACGAAAAGCATGCTTGTTAAACCGGTGAGGGTGAGGTTAATTTAGGCTTTAGGCTTTGGCTTCTTTAGAAATAGTGAAGTTATGACGAACCATATTTTTTGTGATTTCGATTCCTAGGTGAAAACAGCTTTGTCTTTGTTAGTTTTGGATTCGCAAGCCATTTCCGCATGTACATATTTGACAGGATTTTTTTTTAAGAAAATAGTATCCATTACAAAATAACTGGAGCCAAATCCTTGGCTACCAGGACATGATTAAGAAGGTGAGAAGCACCAATAAAACCTCTGCTAGAGAGAATTTTTAGATGTGTAAGTAAATTTTAAAGTTTATTTAGAGAGTGAAATTACACCCTTACCTCAAAGGACATCTGGAGGCCATTAATAGTTAATACACACAGGTGTGGCTGTTAATTTGGAGAACTGTGTGTTGCTGTGCCCTGTGAATGGACTCAACTTCTGAAGCATATCTGATCATTCCTCGTATGTCTTCACCTTTACGATTATATGAGGACTATAATTAAGGTTGGTTGAATGTTGGGTTTGGCTATTAGGTTGGTTGTCGTTGTCATTTGGAGTATACAGTTAGCACGATGGTGGTTTTCAAGACCACGCAAAACGTATGGACACTGGTTGCATCAAGAATTAAAGGAAAAAAGCATGTACTCCTACTAGCACGATAGTACTTATTGCATTACCAAGTTTAAGAGTGCATTGGTGGCATTGTAAGTTCTGTCCATGCTTGCACTACTAAGATTCTAGGCGTGTATTTTCATTTGTTTGTTTGTTTGTTTTCTCACATCTTTTTGAAGGCCATGTGTGTATTCGTGACATTCTCTTATTTCAAGCAAGCCCTCTTTTTCTACAAGCTTTTGAAGCAAGCTCTACCATGGCAAAACTCTTTCTTAACGATTGTAAGCGGGTGCACTAGTAGCAGCGGCGGAGCCATGTGAATGTAAGGAAGGGCTAGTAATTCATTGTTTCATTGCTTAAATACTGCTTTCTACATATGTATAACTAGCATTTGGTATTAGAGTTATATAAAACTAGCAAATATGTTTGTACATTGCAAAGACTCCTTCAGTTAGTCTCCTTGATCCTGCAATAGGTAAATACCCAAAACTAGTTGTCTAAGCTCCATTGAGCCGAAATACAAGCACCAGAGAGCTCTCTCACGCCTCTGAATTTCGCATTGGGACATTTTCGATGCCTCTCACCCCTCACGGGCTAAAACTTGTCGTTTTTTGTGTGGATAGGTGCAACGCTCCGATGAGCCACCAGAGAGCTCCCAACCCCGAATGATATTCTCTGTACTCAAGCTCCGGCGCTCGGTGGGGAGTTCTAGTGTGTCACCGGATAGCTCTAGTGCTCTTATCTTCTCCGAGTTCACACAACCAATGTACGCTGTTCCTAAGCTCTGGTGTGGACACTCTAGTGCACACAGGAATATAAGGTCATCTCAGTTTATTGCCCATCCGTTAGCGCACTGTTGGTAAGCTCTAGTGACATCTTTGGTGCCTCACAAAAGAGCTCTAGTGCCTTAATAAAGTCTCAAAATCCTTCCATTTCAAACAACTCTGAGTTTGGCGTTGTTTTCATTGATCTTTGGGCTTCATCTAAGCTACTTAGTGATAGTTTCACAAGTGTGCATCACATCCACTCGCTAGACTCGTATAGGTCAAAGCTACATGTTCATACCATTCTTAATAGTATGTTCAAAGGAGAAAAATAAAACATGTACTACTCTAAGTGTCTCCTCACTCCAAATGATACTTAAAACAAATTCGTCTTCACTCTAAGTGTCCTCACTCCAAATGCTCCCTAAGGGCATGGAAATTATAAATGAGTAATCAATTATCATTTTTTGTAACCTCATAAATAAAAAACAGTGTTAGGCTTGTTGAAATGTTTCATCTGTGCTTCTTAGCATTTCTACCAGACGAATAAACATAGTGTTAGCTTGTTGAATGTAAACTCCATCTCACAGATTGGCCCCGTCTTGGTTTGGCACCACGCTTCGCCACTGCGTTAGTCACAATAATTATATCATCATTAATCGTCAAATTGAATTAGGAGCTTAGATGCTTTAAGTATACCAGTCTAAAACATCTACATTGTATGAAGGAATCATGTTCGAAGGATGGTAGTTGTTTTGTCTTTTTTTTCAATATTCAAATAACCGTTGAGTAGAGAGCTGTACTGAACATGGTTAATTATGGTGTGAACTTGGTTACACCGATTTCAAAGACAAAGTTAAATTTTGTGCTTTTGTAATAGCTGTTTATATTTTTATTAACACTCATATTGATGATGGTTGGCTGCAAACATCATGTTGCAAAAGTTCAGATTAAAAACATCATGTTGCAAACTTAAATTACTAGTCTTTTTTTTTTTTTCTTGTAATATAGTTCAGACATCATGCTCTAATACATGTACAATGGCAATATGCTACTTACGAAAAAAATAAATACATCACTCCATTGGCCCCGTTAAACACCCGTAAAACGACACTATTTAACTTGTTTTTTTTAGATGAAGACGTGTGTTTTTCTCTCACAAAATTCAATCGAAACAGTGTTTTTCACCCGGTTTGATACATAATTCAAATAAGCTTAAAACTACATCACAAACAAACAAACCAATATGGTGTAAGGTCAAATAACTGAAGAACCGACTCATTTATTATTTCTCTTGTGTATTTTGTTAGGACAGGTTCAATGTAGAGTTCGACTTAAGAAAGTAAAGTTTTTCACGATTCACTAGCTGTGGGCTCTATATAAAACTGATGTTTCTCGCCCCTACCTAGCTAATGCATAGTGTTTGGTGGGCTCGAAGTCGAGTAAACAATAAACCTGATCATGGGCCACTCAACTTGACCCAACCTATAAATAAAAAACCTCCAGCCGAGCCGACCCGACTCGCTAGTGCATTGGATCCAGAATCATGAATTTTGACCCATGATCCGAGTCAACCCAAAATATACCTGACGTAAAGTAAACAAATCCGAGAAATAGTTTGACGCATCTACAAGTGTCGGGTCAGGCTTGGACTAAAGATTTTGATCTGATATATTTTTTCGGCTCCAATCCTAATCTGACCTGATCTAACCCGTCATTTGATCAGGTCTAGTAAACAATTGCTTGGCTGCGTATGTCAATGAGCACGCTGCGAAGCTGATGAATGGGCAAGATCGTTAGCTCACTACTGCGTCGTCTTCTGCTCCCGTCGGCTTCTACGCCTGTGTGTTTATTTCTGCGTATTGCATAGTCCGAAGTTTCAAATCAAACTAGAAGGTAATGAATCGAGTGTTTAAAACTTTAAATCAACACATTACTCTCTCTCTTATTATGGTTTGACTTTTCTCTACACGAGCTGCTCTCATATTTTCGAACGATTGTGCCGGTCACGTCAACCCGATCGGATCATCGGAATAAGAGGTTTGGAAACGGGACCGCACGATTGTTTTCTTATCGCACGATTGTTTTCTTATCGCTGATCAGCAAAGGAGACGCTGAAAAGGAAATGAAAAGTCTTTCAATCAAAAGAAAAGGAAAGGAAGCAAAGGAAAAAAAAAGGGCGAGCAAAAGGAGGAGGAAAGATGCTTTGAGCCGTCCATGGCGTGATTCAAACGCGAGAAGATGCCCTTCCCCTGCAGCCGTACACGGGTCCGACCCCCGAACAAACCTACGGTTCAGATTCGCTCAACATCTGCACTAAAGCCGTTCCACCGACATGCGGGCTCCTTATCTAGCATACCCCAGTACCCCACAGTCAGTGAGACGCACCATCTTCTCTCGGGGGAAGCGGTGGGTGCACCTGCTAGCAGTATAAATATGGTGAAACCCTAGGATTCGCCGCGAGCTTATCGCTTATCATCCGCCTCTGCATCTCCTCCCTGCTCCTCCGCATCCGCTTGACCCGTCCAAGCCAGGTGAAATTCTGACCCGCCGCCGCTCAGATTTGGCTGCGAATTTAGTTGCTTTATGTTTTTTGATTTGTGATTTCTTTTGTTTCCTGAAATCTGGGGAATCTGAATCGAGGCTAATTTTCGGATCTTGTTGTCGGGGGTTTGGGTTTTTTTATACAGGGATCACCATGTCGGACTCGGAGGAGCACCACTTCGAATCGAAGGCCGACGCTGGTGCGTCCAAGACCTACCCGCAGCAGGCTGGCACCGTCCGCAAGAACGGCTTCCTCGTCATCAAGGGCCGTCCCTGCAAGGTATATGCGTGCTTAGATTTGGGATCGGTGGTAGGCCATCGATTAGTATCGATCCGCGTCGTTGTGCTGTGAACTGGTGATATGGAGATTTATGTAGTCGTCTCTGGTCATATTGTGATAGTGTGATTGCTTGATGGGAATAGGCGCTGTTACTGTTATCTTTTGTTGGTTGACCCACTATATGGGGATGGAATTTGTGGTAGTTGGATGCTGGATATATCTGATAGTTAGAAGGAGACGTGGGAGTCGCGATTGATGCGAGACTTTGCTATTGCCAGCCGGAGTTACTAGGACTGGGCTTTGCTTCACAGAATAACAGTTTTCTGTGGTAAATCTGATCTGCCTTTCAGGAGATCAGAAAAAACGACATTAAGTCAGAGTAGATTGCACCCAGCCCATATAAGTAGCCGAGTCTGTAGCAAATGGGTAACCTTTTGGATTTTTTTCCATACAAAGGGGGGAAATTAGTTGGCATGTTGAGCTATTCGTTACTCCCCTAAGCTTGCCATTGAACATTCAAGGGTACTCATTATTTGTCCTTTATCATGGTAAGGATGTTTGTACCCCTTGATCTATAGAGAGTTACCACCCAAGTGATCAAACAATTTATCTTTTGAAGTTTGATCAGAGGGTTATCCGATTTGCATTATTCCAAGATAATGGGAATAAGAGATCGAACAGATAATGTGCTTTAAGGAAAATGCGTTATCCTGATATGTAAGATTTCAGTTGTCAGTCTGGCATAGAGGTAAACCTGATGTTGCTGACTCTGATGTTTTCTCCCCATGATGGATGTAGAGCGCCCCTTGTTATTGATTTTTTTATAATGAGTAGGATTGGAATTGGAATGTTATATTTCCTATTCATTGATAAAACCAATTCGTTGTCAAAATGAATTTTCTTTTGGTTTGGCAACCATTGTCATAGAGAATGAGTACCCACTTGTTTTGCAATGACCAAACAAGTTATCTCTTTCTGAACTCTAAACCTGGAAAAATCTTGTGTGGTATTAGCATAGCGTACTTTATTTTAGGGTGTCACTGCTATCATAAGGTGATAGTAAGCTCACTTCTGTTTATTTACCCTTGAGTGTCAGCAACAGTTCATGGGTTTATGCCTAAAACTATTTGGAATTTCCTTGCTCTTAAATCGTATCACACACTCCTTGCTGTTTTATTGTGTTTGTTTGTTGAATATGGTTGCTAAAAATAACTTATGCTACAGGTTGTGGAGGTTTCTACCTCAAAGACTGGTAAGCATGGCCACGCCAAATGCCACTTTGTTGCCATAGACATATTCAACGGGAAAAAGCTTGAAGATATTGTTCCTTCTTCACACAACTGTGACGTAAGTTAATTTCTGCCTGTTTAGTTAAAGTTCTTTTGACGGTTCACTTCATACGCCACTCACAAGTTCAACTTTTTTCTTTTTAGATTCCTCATGTGAACCGTACTGAGTATCAGCTGATTGACATATCAGAGGATGGATTTGTATGTTCCTCTAATCAGTAAAGCTACATTCTTCTATAAATTAAATGTTAGATTCAGTCTTATAATTTAATTTAATTTGTTTCAGGTGAGCCTTCTTACTTCAGATGGCAACACTAAGGATGACCTGAGACTCCCAGCTGATGAGACTCTTGTGGCCCAGGTCTGTTTGGAAACATTTTCTATCCTCAGTCCTGTTAGTTTTCTTGGTGGCTTCCAAGTATTTCAGATGGTGGTTATATTTGTTAGCTTAGTCATATGTTCTTTCTCGGTAGCTTCTCTTCCTTGAAGTTTGTTAATTGATTTGGGCTTATAAGGATTGTGGAAAGTAGGGCCTTGTAGAACTAGACAGTCCTTGTGTACTTAGTCTGTCTACTATTTCCTTTACATGTAAATGATCTGACATGACAACCATGTTGCATAAAACATGCTGAAAGTGCACCTAAATTGCTTGCTTTTAAACTGACGAGTTGTATAATGATTTTGTATACGTGTCCTACACATTGTTGTCTGTGCTGTACTGCTGTGAGTTTCTTGGACAGATGAAAATTCTGTTGATTGGTAGTAGTGTTGCATAACTTGTATCCGTTGTAGCTGAGTAAATGTATCTATGTCAAGTTACTGTTTTTGTGTTTATATTGCCCAATAAACTCAATAACACTTCTGCATTTTGTATTCAGATTAAGGAAGGGTTTGAAAGCGGGAAGGATCTTGTTGTGACTGTCCAGTCTGCCATGGGGGAGGAGCAGATCTGCGCACTGAAGGATATTGGCCCCAAGTAACTTCCCTGCCTTGGAAGACGGAACCACTGTATCTCAAAACTTAAATCGAAAAGTGTATCACCAAAGGATTGCTACCGAGACATTCACCTGGCTTGAGCTGGCTTTTGCTATATAGCAAACACAAGTGCAGGGATTGCTGGGTGTCTGCACCTTATCTGACTATCATTATCCGTGGTTACATATTCTGGACCCTGTATTTTCTATGCTTTTATGCCCCCTACTTTTTAGTATTAAGCATCAATAAATTGGTTTGGAACGGTTGAATTGCATCCAATGCATGAGGCTTCTTGTTGGTTATTGTTTTTCTCGCAATTGTTCTGCTTCCAGTATTGCTGTGTACTTATTTTCTGAATTTTTTGGTTCCTGTGTTTCTTAAGGCCTTGTTCGGATGTTATCGGATTCACCTCAATCCATATGTGGTAGGGTGGATAGGGGTAGAACTTAGTTATGTTCCACTCTAATCTACTACACATGTGGATTGATGCAAATCTGATTGCATCAAAACAAGGCCTAAACTGGTTTGGTACAGTTTACTCGTGATTGTGCTGCTTCCAGAGTTCCAGTACTGCTTAACCTTTTCTATTTTTCCCACCAACAATAACTAATGTACATAGTTTTAGAGAAGCTGTACCAAACATGGCTTGGAGCTCCAAACCAAAGAGGCTCGAATTTTCGATGTTTGTAATGTTTCTTCCTCAACCATATCCATCGTGCTCGTAGGCCTGCAGTTCGCCAAATTCCACTGCCAAGGAGGAGTAGGCCGTTGCATTGGGATACGTGTGCAGTGCAGCAGATGTGAGTCCTCTTGGAAGGGCTCATGGCCTCCTCCCCAACCAGTCCTCTTGGAAGGGGGCTCATGAAGCTTGACAATGACAACTTGACAAGCATTCGTTGTGCCGCTTGAGGGCCCTGACTGCAAGGCCGCCTCCAGCGCTAGTCAAGCAGATAAGCAGACCGTATCGCTTGGCAGGCCACTTTGCACTGTACCCGCTTGCAGAATGCAGACCCCTTCCCTGGTCCAGAGAGAGGAGAGCAAGGCATATCCGCATATGCAGGCAGCCAGGCACCTTATTGGAGATGTCAAACTTGGAAACCGATGGAGCCAGGTCTGAATTTGGTTTGGAACGCTTGAATTGCATCCAGTGCATGCGGTTTTTGTTGGATAACCCCCCCCCCCCCCCCGCCCCCATGTTGCCTCCAGTACTGCTGTCTGCTTATGAATCTTTTGGTGCTCTAAAATTCAATATCTGGCTTCCAAAACCTGCCCAGTACTACTCACATTTCGTTTATCGTAATTTTCCTGGCAAGTTTTAAACGTTATCCAGAAATTTTAGTGGAGATCAGAGCGTAAAACCGTTTCCAGGTTCAAACTGGCTGGTCCTTTCTCGGTCTGGAAGGAAGCTCTTCCTTTGCCCGACGCACAGTCGTTCGCCGTAGTGCACCATATTGCCGCCCCCCGAGCACCAGATTACACACTAACATAGCCTAATTCCACTTCTCACCTTCTCTGCATGCTTCGTTTTTTCGTTTCCACAGTTCTTTTGGAACAAATGAACAATTTGCCCTACACCTACAGTGGTAAAATTAAACCTGTCATCAATCTTGCACGTCAATGTAAAAGAAGCTTTATTGCTAATACTGTATGATACGGCAAATCGAGTCCCTTTTTTTTGAACAAACAAAAAGGAAAAAAACAACACATCAACCTCAGGACCCGAGGAAAAAAAATCACATGTCCATTTTCATTCTCGATTCGAGACGCATGGTTCCTTTTATCGGCCATGAACGTTCACTAGTGTATATTCTTGGTTTTCATCGTGACCTGCAGATTAAAACTCGAGCAGTTTTTCTCACCAAGTTATAAAAGGCAAGGTCGGAGTCGAACTGGTTTCCTCTCTAGAACCGAAGAGGGCCCAGAATCCGGGGAAGCAGCGACCGGCGAGCCATGAGAGGAAACGAGGCCGAAAGAAGAAAATGAAGCCCAGAAACGAAAACCACGTACGACTGGCCCAAGACAAAGCAGCCCACGATGCGGGCGTCGCGTCTCACCGTGATTTTGCCCTAGCGGACTGGGCCAATTGTATAAGGCTAACTGCGGATCCAGCCCACGACTTGGGCGATTCAAGCACGGACTCTGTATTTGCTACGCAAACGGCAAATCCACGAACGCACCCGGACCCGGACTCGAAAGAGGACAGAAGAATAGGGTTTCGTATCTGGAGTAGAATCAGAGGCGGTGCCGGCGGCGAGGTCGAATCCAGGGAGCCTTCTGTTGTTGAAGAGGCGGCATTGGCGCAGGAGGGACTCGGCGAGAAGACGATTGACCATCATTATATCCATGCTCCACCTTGGCAGTGGGCATGTCTGACACCACTGTTATGATGGAAGAAAACGACTCGACGGCCTTGTTGTTGGCAAAATCTGATAAGAGCAACGCGTTGAGGAGTGTGGAAGAGGATGGTCCAGGCACCATCTTTGGAGTGATGATTGTGGATCTTCTTGGCATGGGTGGGGAAAGCAAGACAGAGGCCGCGCGGCGGCAGATGGAGGCAGTGCTTGCGGACGAGGCAGCGATGGACCATTTGAGGGCCGAATTGAGGCATCAGGTGTTACGATCCTTCACTACCGAGTAGCAATTACAAGGGTATCTGATACAAATTGGGAAGAATTAGATGGAACCTAGACTGGGAAAAGCAGGAATCCGAGGCAGGAAGCAAGAACAGCAGTAGGAAGGGTTCTGACGGAAGGAAGGAGACGACGGGTTTAGTTCTTGTATGATGCCTTCCTGAAGCTTTCCTTCCTGCCTTTTGTACACTGGCCTTCCCAAGCCCACTCTTATGCAGTATCACGGCCCACCGCCTCGTACATGACATTCCCCTCCGCTTGAAATGCGGCTTGGCCTCAAGCCGCGCCAAATCTTCAGCATATCACCTTTCAATTAAGAGAGGAAGCCTCCAATGATGCATCACCTTCATTTCAGCAACAACCACCGGATCAACATCTTGAGTAATCGCAGCAATCCTCATTCGCTTGCAGACGAAGGGAGCAGAGAGGCTCATCTAGAACAACTCGCCATTTGCTTTAGCATGCTCAACAACTAGCTTCTCAACTAGTGCCCAGTTCCCTATGCCAGCAGGAACAATCTCATCCGTGTAGTAATGAGCAGGAACTGCTGCAGCTTGAGCATTTTTCTTCATCTCCTCACCACACTTGTCCCTCCTGATGCATTTCCTGTAACTTGTTGCTCCAGAAATTTGAAGCATCCATTGGGCAACCCTGATAGAGTTCTGGGTGGCTCCTCCAGCAATGTATTCAACATTGATCTTGCTAGCCAACTCATAATACAAAGGCAAGTGCTTCTCCTCAGCGGGAATAGCAGTGTTTATTAGGTTGATGTCATACCACCACACGGTAACTCCATCTTGCACTTTCTGCCAACTTGGACAAACAAGTAGATATCTAAAACATAGCTGCGACACTCTTATCTTGCTGTCAGGAGGTGGCCATGGGATCAAGTGAGATGTAACACCACTGGTTCTTGCCTCAATAAGCCATAGATGCTGCAACATTTCGTGGGTCGGTGTCCACAATTCCCTCAATATCACAGCATAGGCGTTCTCCATGCATTTCCCTCGGTCAAACACCAGCCAACCTATTGTGTCCATGGAAATGACCCATACTGAGAACTGAAAGCTCCTGAAGGGTTGGAAAATCTCAGAAAAATTTGTTGACTGAACCAAGGGTAGCAGTGTTGTATCAATCAAAAAGCTTGGAACAGCACTTGCATCAGCTTCACTCATGCATCTGTAATAGTTTCTGACATTTGGAAATATTGGAATTGGCAAAGTCAAGGGCAGCAGCATCTCCACTTCTTTCTTGCACTCGCACCCCACAGCAAGCTCTACTGGCCATCTTTCCGGATCATCACAAATATCAAAGCTTGCTAGAGACTTCAACAGTAACTGAATGACATTGGTACCAGCAAGATCCCAATGATGATTCAGTAAACTAACTTCCAGATCATTCCCTTTCTTTTGGATTGGCAAGATGACTGAAGAATTATCCATCTTATCAAGGAAAATGAAGATCGGATGCTCTAGTATAATAATGCAGCACTCGGATCCCAGCAAATGAAATTCATTGACCCTCCTGCTGATCACCTTGGCAATCAGAAATTTCAGCAAGCAAGTATTGCTCTTGACCACTAGTTTTGCATTGCCATGAGCCTGCAACTTCCCAACATCTCCTTTTAGTTGTACACATTAAAAAGCATACAACAACAATAACAACATAGCGTTTCAGTCCCAAACAAGTTAGGGTAGGATAGAGTTGAAACCCACAAAGAGCCCCAAGTCACGGTTCAGGCACTTCAATAACTGCTTTTTCCAAACACTCATATTTAAACATAGATCTCTAGGTATATCCCAAGCTTTCAAATCTTTTTTATCGCCTCCTCATATCAATTTCGGTCTTTCTCTATCTCTCCTCATATTATTAGCTTGGTTTAGGACTCCGCAATGCACTGGTGCATCTGGAGATCTCCTTTGGAAATGGCCAAACCACCTCAACCGATGTTGGACAAGTTTTTCTTCAATTAGTGCTACCCATAGGCGATCACGTTCGTTCTGAACTCGGTCCATTCTTGTGTGACCACAAATCCATCGCAACATACGTATTTTTAGCAACACTCAATTGTTGAACATGTCGAATCTTTGTAGGCCAACATTCTGCTCCATACAACATAGCCGGTCTAATAACCGTTCTATAAAACTTGCCTTTTAGCTTTTGTGGTACCCTCTTGTCACAGAGAATGCCAGAAACTTGTCGCCACTTTATCCATACACCAAAATGCATCAAACAAGAATTTGCTCCAAGCAGTAACAGTTGATCTGAAGGCCACACCACTCTTGGCAAGCTCCAATAGCAGTGAACCAGTCCAAAGCCAGTACCACTACCAACAGCATTGAACGCCCAGAATCCCTGCAGCCCAGTGCAGTTGTCTGCAAGTTTGCACACGCGGTCCAGGCATAGATTGACAATCTCCTTCCCAATAGTGTAATGGACATTGGCAAAGTTGTTATCTGCATCCTCTTTCCTTGAGATGAGCTGCTCTGGGTGGAAGAGCTGGCCGTATGAACCAGTGCAAACCCCGTCGATGACAGTGGGCTCCAGGTCGACGAAGATGGCCCTCGGCACATGCTTGTCGGAACCGATCGTCGCACGTTGTGCTCGCATGCGCAGCCGAGGGCGCCGACCGCACCACGCAAGGCACCTAGGCAGACGCCTCCGCCTCTCCCTCGTCGAGTGTTGTGCTCGCACATGCAGCTGAGGATGTCGACCGCAGATCCACACGACGGTCGCGACGGACCCGAAGGTGGAGATGTCGTCGCTGAGAGAGAAGGCGATGACGGCGTCCAGGTGGCGGCGGCGGCAGCTCATGTACCAATTGCGCGCGCAGCGGCCGCAGGAGGTGGTGTTGTACACGACGTCGCTGCGCGGGTTGCAGGGCACGTTCGCGGACTGCGCCGTGGTGCGCGCCATCCAGCGCTGGATCCGCGTCGCCGTGGACGAGCGGAACGTGTCCATGGACACCGCGCTCCGCCGGAAACTCCAGGCTCTGCTTGCCGCGCGGGGCCTCTATGCCGGCGGCGAGGGAGAGGAGCGCCCCACCATGCTTCTTGGCGACGAGCGGTGAGGACGCAACGGAGGCGAGGTCGAAGAAGTCATGGCGGAGGAAGACGACCGTGCTGTCGCGTCGCTCCCTCCAGCGATGTCGACGGAGACGAGCACGTCCCGGTCGAACTAGAGGGCGAGGTGCTCCAGATCCTCGTCGTTGTGGACGAAGACGAGCGCAGTGGTTCCGGCGGCGACGTTGATGTACTGTCGCACCCGGTCGGCAGGCCGCGAAAGATGCTGCGCGAGCTTGCGCGCGAACCCGCCTGTCAGACCTGGTACACCTGCGATCTGAGGGAGAGACGTATTCGAGCAATTATGTAATAGATATATTATGACACGTGGGCCATAAGTCAAGGGAGTGTTTTAAGCGTGTGTTGTATCGGATTGAAGACGATCGCATTTTTGAAATTGAACTCGGTGAAAGAGGAAGGTTCCTCTTCCCGTTTCTCGTCTCTCGCGTGCTCTCTGAAGCTCCTCACGTCGACGGCACTGGCCGGGGCAACGGGGCATGACAGTTGGTATCAGAGACTCCTTTTCCTCGGCGTGGGCAGTGGGCTTCAACGGCCAACTCCGACGCTAGTTACCCGGCGACAACCGTCTCGCAGTGGCGCTGTCACCCCTACAATCCGGTAACCTACCACCTTAAATCCACTCCACCCACCTCGCCGTAGTTGCTCAGTCCATCTTGGTACGTTCCACGACCGGGCGTCTTGATCTGCAGTTCGTAATTCCGGTGGGCAGGGGATCTCCGTTAACGCCCTCGAGGTGTTCGACGAAAGGAACCAGAGGTCCCTCCTTTGGGTTGAACTGGGTCGGCTCCGGCAGTGGCACTACTTCACCTGAGCTCTGCAATTTCCACCTCCACCCATCCACAACCCAACCAATTCCCACCCACCACTCCACCAAATTCTACGACATCTTTTCTCGGTTGGGGTTTCGGCATCGACTTTGGATCGGCGGCGGATACGAGTTCATTTGGCACTCAATCGAGGACTACGAGGGTTGCGGAACAAATTCCCGTGTAAAATTCCGTAGCATTCTTACTCGATTGGTGAAAGTGCATCTAGCCCTTTAATAGGTTTTGGATGATTGAATGACAACGTGATAAAAGGTCTAACCCGTTTGCTAAGTGTGGATAAGTAATAGGTTATCTCACGGGTATTTAATAAAGGGCAAAATGATGTGTTGTTGTATAAACAATCTAGTTCAAGCACAAGACAACAATACAAATAGAATTTATGCAAAGGCTTATTTATTGTGGGATTTTCATGTACTATGTCAAAGCAAGCTTGTAAGAATTAATTAATGAGACATGAGGGATTGCATATGGAATGGTCTCATATTTGAAGCTTGCTAAATTGAAATGAAAAAGATAACAATACGAATGAATGGTTGATTCAACACAAGATGTGACTTGATGACTTGAAACGGTGAAGATAGCAAGGAAAGGCTTCGAGATACTAAGCAAGGGTGAAGGGCAAGCGACGGCTTGGCAGCCGAAGAACCTAGCTAGGGTGAAGAAGGAAGTACTTGCATTTAGTTGAGGTATTAATCAAGTTGTGATGGTCATGTTAATGTGAAGGATCAAATCACTATTGAAGTGTTTGATGGAAGTGATTTGATACATTTGGGATTATTCAAATTTGATGAATGAAATCAAGTCACGTGCTCAAGATGGCTATGCTCAAGTGAAAAGATAAATATCAACATGTTGGCACCCTCACTTGATGAAGAATGGAATATAGGGTTTCGGTTGAAAGAGATCAACTCAAAAGGTTTAAATTCGATTATACTTTTTAAATTTGAGTTAATAGGAATGTCGTACTATTAAGAGGGATGCATCATGTTGATAGATAATGTTTCATAAGTGCTCAAGCCAACCCATGTGAGTTTTGAGTGTTTGAGAGATAAAAGAGCTAACTTGTGTTTTGCTGGTCTGGCAATATCGGACGTGATA